GGTGGGTCAGCCTTACCGAAGGGCATTTATTGAGGCAATGTTAGCCGTAATCTGGTGTGCCCACCCCAGCAGGGGCATCTGCTTTGTTTTGGTGCGCTTCGCTTCAGATTGAAGACACCTGTCAGATCTAAGTTAGCATAGGTTTAACACCATGATGTAAAGCAAAATGCTTTTGAGAGCAAAATCTCCCAAGAGTGCCTCTGCCCCCCTCCAGCAACTGCAAAAAAGAAGGCGTCTGTGGGAGAAAAGGGTGACTATAGACGTCATTGCATCTCTTAAGATCCCAGCTGTGACCTGGCTCAGAGTTTTACAGTTAAAAATAACTGTGGCTTAGAGTTAGGGGGAAAAAAGTAAACTGTTGTGTCTCCATGGAAACTGGGAGAGGAAAAAAGGCAAGCCATGGATTTCCAGCAGATGTGGCGAGAGATGGGGTGGATAGGGGAACTGGGAGCCTCTCAGGTGAAAGCGGATTACAGCGATTAACATCCAGGATCTAGCCACACATGGCTCCAGGGCTCTGAGATACTCTGCAGCCAGGTGTATATGTAACAATGTACACTTGGTCAGGTAAGAATTATTTGATGGTTCCAACTTCCAAACCTGTAACACAGATTTGCTACTATTTGGCAAAACAAAGGGCCATGAGCCACACAGTAGGCTAGAAGTTGCTTTCTAACCAGTGTGGGAACCTCTGCCCCTGCTTCACTTTCTGCTTTTTCACTTCATAGTCAATTACCTGGGATGTTTTTAAAAGTCCATTTCTTACCACTTCTGGTATTCCTACTAGAAGGGACTAACTTGGGAGGAGTTATTACATTTCTTCATTTTCCCTTTCTTTCATGTTTTCTTGAAAAACAGTTTTTCCTAAAGAAATACATGAATACATTCTGGCTGTAATTTTTTTTTAAAGCCTTCTCTTCCCCCCCCCCCTTTTTTTTCTCTTTGTTATCCTTTCTTTTCTCTTTCCCCTTTTAAAATAAAAAGTTTATGAGCCTCCTTGGTGGCATAGGGGTTAAGTCTCAGTACTACCATGCTATCAGCTATCACCACTGGGCCTGAGTTTGATCCTGGCCTGGGAGTTTGGGTTAGCCCCTACATGGTGCAGCAGACCTCTCCTGTCTCACCTGCTGCTCCTCTCAGTAGTGTGTGTCAGTAGATCCACTTGTTCTGTTCCCCACTCCGTCTCTGATGAATCCTCTCAGCCCCACACACCTCTGGCCTACAGCCCGGTTCTTCTATGGATAAATAAATCTAAAAAAAAATAATAAACGTATAAAAAAGTAAATGTAAAGTTTATAATGAAAGAATTGAGATCAAAGTGGGAGTGGTTTGTTACTGCCCTTGTGTAGACAGGCTTTCTTGTTTACCTGCCAGGCTGACTAGAGAAGACCTGAGTGTTAATCCTCGTTGTGCTATTTAATGACACAACCTCAGGCAAGTTTTTCAACCCCTCGTGGTCTCTAACGTGTGACTGATAATACCTACCTAATTAGATTTGATGAAGATTAAATGGGATAAGGTATATGTAATACACCTGGCACTTCTTTGCCTCCCCTTCCCTTTGAGCACCTGATAATTTCATTTAACTTAAGCCACGTGGGGCAATATACACGATTTTCCTGAACTACACAATGCATGCTGAATTCTCACAGAGGTACATGAAAACCTGAAAGACACAGAGCAGTGTTGAAGACAAATGTATGTTTTTCAAGGAATTTGTTTATATTGGAATTTTCATCATGGGTTGAATTAAAGGCAGAAAAATTTCAGAGATAGGTAATAAATTACCTAGTTATCCTAGATATGTTGTAATACTCTTTCCTTTTTTTTTTTTAAAGATTTATTTATTCGTACAGAACTGGGGCCAAAGATGCGGAGGGTGAGAGGATTCACCAGAGACAGAGTGGGGTACAGAACAGGCAGATCAACGAAGCACACCGCTGAGGGGAGCAGCGGCTGGGTCAGGAGAGGTCTGCCTCGCCACATGGTCACCTCCGGGGCAGGCGGGAATTGAACCCATGCGGAAGTGGCTTTAGCTTCTCAGTGCTGCACTTTAACCTGCTGCGCCACCAGGGAGGGCCTCCTTTTTTTCTTTTAAGATTTATTTATTTATGCATACAAGAACTAGAGTACCTGCCAGAGATACAAGAGGTAAGAGGATTCACCAGAAACAGTGGGGAGCAGACAGGCAGACTGACTGAAATACACTGCCTAGGGGAGTAATGGGTGGATCAGGAGAGGTCTGCTGCGCCACGTGGGTCACCTCCCTGGCTAGGGATCGAATTCGTGCTGCAGTGTCTGCAGATAGCTTCATAGTGCTGCGCTTTAACCTGCTGCGCCACCAGGGAGGACCTGTAATACTCTTTTCTATAATACCTAGCACAAGAAACATGAAGTCAGATTACAAGACTATGTACAACTATGTTTATAACTGCACAGAGAACTAAAACATGCATTGAAAGACGAGAAAGATGCTAATCACTGTTTTTGTTAAGTCATAAAATTATAAAACTATGCCTTTTCTGTTTTTGGAATGTAACATTTCTTTATTAATGGAAAAATACATTTTATCGCAACTACAAACACTAAAAATTGCAGTTTATATTTTATATTTAGCAAAATTAACCTTTGTGATAACAATGTAAGGTGCTATCATCTTGTAAAGTAGCACAAAAATTGGCCAAGTTTCTGTGGTAGATGAAACGTGTGTTTGGAATGTCTGCCCTCAGTCCTTCTGTGTTCTCCATATTTATTGTATTTCCTCCCAGATACCTGGTGTCCACTTTTCCCCTCACACGTGTAAGGCAACAGCTTAAAGAGCCACTTTGAGGTGTAGAGGCTTGCTTTGCATAGCTATCAATAACATGTCCTCGGGAATTGCAGGCACTAGCCAGCAGGCATCTGTGCCATCTGGGATGGCCTGAAATCAGACTTGTGTAGACTGAGGAGTCTTGATCATAGCTGTTCCCCTATTCCAACAGATATAGCAAAGCTGTTGCCAATTTATTAACCAGAAGCAATGAGTGAATGGAAGACACAGCTTTTCTTTCTGAGGCACCCATAATGGTCTGGTTGATCTGGAGCAGTCACTGCAGCAAATAAGAATATATTTGGAAAGACAGACATCAGAAGCCAAGCAGCATAGCAGTTTCCACCTTCCACTTACTGTCTGATCAGATCCCCGCTCCCGCTGCACAAAAGCTGCACTGCTTAGTGAGATGTAGTCAGAGTACCCACTCCTCTCCTGCACACAGGCAAGTCATATTTCTGTGGCAGATGACCTCTCAGATGTTTCTCCATCTGAATTAGTTGACAACGATAAACATAGATATCGATAGTCTGGTAACATGCTGTCCAGTATGTGGCTATTTAAAATAAAATAAAAAAAATTTATGTGGGCCTCCGTGGTGGCGCAAGTGTGTGTCAGCACTACCAACCCACTGAGGCATGTGTTCAATCCTGCATGAGCTCGATCTCCGGCCAGGGAGCTAACCTATATATGGTGCAGCAGACCTCTCCTGTCCCACTGCTGCTCCCCTCAGCAGTATATTTTGGTCAATCCACCCATTCTGTTTCCCACTCTGTCTCTGGTGAATCCTCTCACCCCCCACGCCTCTGGTCTGTACCCCAGTTCTTGTGTGCATAAGTAAATAAATCTTTTTTTTTTTTAAAGATTTATTTATTTATTCATACAGAACTGGGGTACAGGCCAGAGATGCCGAGTGTGAGAGAATTCACCAGAGACAGAGTGGGGAGCAGAACAGGCAGAACGACAAAGTACACTGCTGAGGGGAGCAGTGGGCGGGTCAGGAGAGGTCTGCCGCGCCATGTGGTCACCCCACGGGCAAGCCGGAAACGAACTCATGCGGAAGTGGCTTAAGCTTCTTAGCGCAGTGCCTTAACCCGCTGCGCCACCAGGGAGGGCCAAGTAAATAAATCTTTAAAAAAAAAATTAAGTTCTGCAGTCACAGTAACTACATTTCAAGCACTCAAAAACTCACATGAGGGTCATGGCTGCTGTGCTGGCCACTGCCAGTTACAGACATGTGCGTCACCCAAAGTTCTGTAGCACAGTGCATGTCTACAAGATAGTATTTTCAAGCTAGAGAGAGAGATTGAGATTGGGAGAGTGTGTGTGGGCAGTGTAGGTCCACACTTACATATTCTGTAAAGGCGTAAAGGACATCCCTACCCACAGGCATATGTAATACAGTCACTAATGGTCTCACTGACAAGCACTTCTTCCTGTTTTCCTTAATTGCTAGATCTTACACTCTATTTTACACAAACTCTAGTTTAGCTGTCCTCTCTCCTCTTCGCTGATGTGGTATGATTGTTCATGCTGGGCTTAGTTCTTATAATCGATGAAAATGCCCAGCTGCTTGTCACTATCTTGAGCTGGTTCTGAAAACCAGCCTTCTGCAGAACAAATAAACTTGAATCTGAAGAGGGATGTATCTATTTGTGCTGCTGAGTCATTGAACTGACTGGAGGAAGGACTGTAGGGGGAGAAACAAATGAAAATGGCATACAATCGTTTCTATTAGAGCTTTTGCTATTTTGGTATTGGCATGTCAAAAATAAGTCACCAGATGAATTGATGGTAGAACAGTTTCGTGCTGGGAAGATGCCCTTCCCGGGCAACAGTTGAACGCCTAGTCTTTTATCCTTTATTCTCTCAAAGAAGGAGTAATTTCGCCTATTTTTAAAGCTTGGGCTCTCCTTTTATGACTGCAGAAACAAATATCTAGGTCTTTTTAGCTCTCCTAAGCTTATCATTAAAATGCCTTTGATGGCATCCTTTTGTCTGGGAAGCAGTCCGAACTTTTAGAGATATTCCTGCACCCCACGGGCTGACTCTGAGTCTGCTTGGGGATCAAGAAGAGCATGAAAAAGCCTGGAAGCTTTTCGCTGAAGATGCCAGGAGTAAACCCAAAGCGCGACTTGTACTTCCCTCACCAAGCTCCTGCCCCCCTCCTGCCACTACCCCCCCACCATGACTCCGCGTTTGACTGTTGAGCTGCCCAGAGGCCGGCGATGGACGAGGCGAGGAGCTGGGTCTGGTGAGTAAAGGGCTGGCGCGGAGTCAGGACTCAGGTGTCTGACTCACGGCGGCGCCCTCTGGAAGTCGAGCAGCCCTCGCTCACCTGCCACAGCGGGGTTGTGCTGGAAAAAGTCCGTTTTACATCTACTCATGTCACAGATGGGCAAACACCTAAATCTAAAAAGACGCTCCGAGTGACACAGCAAATAAAACTCAAGGAATGCCTGCGTTCAGCCTGGCACCTGCGGTTCGTGGCGGCGGGGCGGTCTGGGGCGCGCGGGGGATGGCCACGCGTCCAGCTTCCTCAGGGTCTCGGGCACGCTCCCGCACAGGCATCCTGGTCTTTTCCCCGCAGTCTTTTCGGGCCCACCTGCCGGGCTCTGTCCCGTGCAGGCGAGGCTCACTGACTAACTGCAGTTTCACACCTGTCCTGTTTGTAGGGGTGCCTTGCCTTTAGCTATCCCACCTCCAGAGCACACTAGCTCAGCACTCCCGCCTAGAGCCGGCTCGTGGAGAGACACTTAAGTGGGGAAAAGAGGGGTCGTGGGCCGAGAGACGCGGAAACTGCAGGGGAACCCTGCACGGAGGGTCGCCGCGGGGAGCGGACGCCGCGGGAGCTCC